GCCACAATTTTCACCACACTATTATTCTTCATGACATTGATTACAACAGCAACAGCTCAATACAGCATATCACAGTTTCCGAATAATCAATCGGTGTACTTTGACCCTATATCAAAAATCAAAATAATTCGAGACCAGTGGAAATTAGTCGTCTATTATGACATGGGTCCCTACTGGTCAGGATTAGAAGCATATGATAAATTATCAACGTATTTAGATAAAACCTGTAATAAAATTGAAAAACAATCAAATTGTAATATGGTTTTACTACAACTGAAACACACCTATCAAGAAATAAAATACTACAATCATCTTTTGCTAAACCAGCATTTTTACGAGCACGCTAGACGTCGCCGGCGCCGGGGCCTTATTGATGCAGTTGGTAACATAGCAAATAGCCTTTTTGGAGTACTGGATAGCAAATTTGCCGAAAAGTACGCTCAAGATATCAATATTATAAAAAATAATGAAAAGCATTTAAACAGCCTCTGGAAAAACCAAACCTCTATAGTGGAAGCAGAGTTTAATTTAATAAAACGCATGGAAAGCACTATAGAAAAACAACACAAAATAATTCATAAACAACTTAACGGATTGGAAGCCGCAACAAACGTTTTACAAACTGAAATAGTTAATTTAAGTACAATACAAGACTTTACATTGGCAGCATTCACTGGCAGTAATCTACTTCAGACTCTAAAACAACTTCAAGAAACCCTGCTAAATACAATCACCTACATTTATCACGGACAAATTAATCTTCACTTACTCACTCCTACGCAGCTTAAAACGGAGTTACAAATAATAAGCAGCCAAATGGCGAAAGATCTCACGTTACCTATCAATAGTTTATTGTTTAATATGCAACAGTTGTATAGGCTACTTAAAGTTAAAACAAGATTAACAAAAGAATACATAATTTTTGAGATATCAATTCCACTGGTAAGTCGAGATTATTATCAAATGTATAAGTTGATACCGATTCCTCATCAACAGAACGTAAAAATGATTAGCGTTACACTCATATCAGAATACGTAGCATTCAATATCCAAAGAGATTCGTATATAAACGTTGACTACAGTGAACTACAAACATGCTCTTTCATCGAAGATTATCAAATTTGTCAGTTGAAGCAACCGATCAATCATTTACTGTATGATGAAAATTTGTGTGTAAGAACAAATGAAAGCTTATTATCCAAATGTATAACTGAAAAAAGTATCTGCACTAATCAATGGATAGCATTGAATGAACCTTCACAATATTTTTATTTCACTTGTAATATTAACGCGATAAAGGTCGTGTGTGAAGATCAGGTTACAAAGCAACAGCTGAGCGGTGCAGGTATTATTAATTTGAATCAGAACTGTATTGTAAAAGGAAAAGAGTTTACATTACACCCTTTACAATATCATACAAACAAATTGTTCGTATCACCCAAAGTCGACACTCCAAAAATAGATCAAATTAATCACATTATACAATTAAGCATAACCACAACAGAGATTGAAAACGATGACGTATTAAATCAAACATTCACGGAAATTGGAAAACAATTAGAAAGTCTAAAAGCAAATGACAAAGAGCTAGATCTTGATGCTTTATCCCAGCACGATGTACACCAGTACGTCATTGGCTACATAGCAGTAGCAGCAGCAGTTGCCATAATTTTGACTTGGCTATATCGAAGTCGACGAATATGTTGGCCGCGGACCGCGCGGCCGAAGAACGCGACCAGCTCGAGAAGTCCGGGCGATATAAGATTGGAAGAGGTCCACTCCCAGCACGTAGTGTCCAGTGATAGTGTTCGTGATGTGAATAGAATGGCTTGTCAGCCTAGTGTAAGTGTAGTGCGCGAAATCGATCAGTGCGAAAGAGAAATTGTTGCCCCTCGCGGCAGTGCTAGTGTCAAACTACTTAATCGTTTACCGAGCATTAAAATGAGTGTGCGAATGAAGGACAAAGCAACATCGCCCCACACTAATAGGGCATTATTTAAGACTGAGTTATCTCAAACTGAATAATTTACTTTCATATTTTCTGTCTTTTGTTACTTTTATTTGATTTTATGTTTTAATTAAACAAATATCTACTAACCTAATTTAAGTTAACCTTGTTAATCACCTTGTAATCATACTAACACTATCATTTTTATCTAAGGCATCTTAAGCCGGCCCGGAATATGTTCGGTGCATTGCATTGATACCGAACACCGTCTGTGACGTCATTACAACGCGTCACAGAAACATATATTTTTAAATAATTTTAGTGTAGAATCAATCGCCGTAGGAATCGGATGCACTCATTATCATTTATCATTATCAGTTTAAGTTTATATAATAAACGTGTATTTCAGTACAAAAAACTATCATTTAACAATCAATTTAATTTATGTTCAAACCCGAACAGAGGTAGTGGATGGTAATTCCCCATTTTCTCATAAAATATGAATCGATTGTCGGTATGAGTGAACTTTTACTTACACTTAATATTTATGCCACTATTTACCGCCCCATAAGTCCGGCAGCCCCCTAGGCCCATACCTACAGTATGCATTAATATAAATCCGCCCCTGCCCAAAAAAATATTATTATTATTATTACATATACCTACATTAATAATAGACTTTTAGTAGATACCTCTATTTAAAACTGTTTAAATAACATGTATAATTAGACATCTGCTGTTAAACACCAGCAAGTGTCCATGTACATTGTTTTAGTGTTTGGTGGCCTTCTGCAATCGATCGCCTTCGCATGTGCAACACAGCTACATGCTATATGGGTGATTATGGCGACCGTCATCAATAGCACAGTAGAGAAATTATCTAAAAGAGGGATGAAATGCGTAGCGTGTGGGGTCGAACAAAATCAATAAAAACTGCGCACGCGATGCGCGCAAGCTCACACCGAGTGCGCGCGACGCTGGCCGACCGACACGCTAATATATCTATCTATATGAACTAAATATATATTATTTTCTTTGTTTATACATCCATAGCCTTCCCTAATAATTAAATTAATAGGCAAAACAAAGGACGGAATTTTAAATTTGTGGTATTTAATTATAAATTATTTTTTATATAATTATTATTTAGGATTAAATAAACTAAAAGTTTACAATTTATGTAATAAATTGATGAAAAAAATTTCGAAATCTAATGCGATATTTTTAGAATATATTACCTTATATTGCTTGTTTTGTACAAACAAAGAACGCCTACATCACAATCGAACCCGGAACCTTTGTTCGAATCAAATAAAAAACACTTGACAAATTATACTTAGACCAAGCTTAGACCTTATTTTCAGTTGAGAACGTTTGCTTAAGTACAAATGTTTTATGGCAAGCATCTACATATTTTTACGAGATCAATTAACGTAGTCAAATTATTATAAAATACAAAATATTATAATAAATAAACTTATATAAAGTATATTTTTGATTTTGTAACTACTACTTTTTAAGTGTGTTGTTATCTAATCGAAAATTAACTTTTACTAAAGATGCGACTTATAAGTAGAGCTATTTTTGCTTTACTTTAATTTGGCGCTCACGTTTGAATAGTTTATTTTTATTTTTCGTTTTTGGTTTACTTTTTTGTCCGTAACCAAAATTAATAGAACTTCAGCGTAGTCCATGGCTTCAATATATCAGACACATGTTCTTTAATTAGTATTTATATTTATTTCGAATTTAAGTGGACACAGTATGTATTACAGTATATTTTTATACTTAAAATAGGAGACCAACTTTGAAGTTTAACTTATATATTACTTTTGTGACTAAAAATTGTTCTAATTTATGATGATTCCTGTATGAGACTGTCTCCAAAGGTCTAGGCGCCAAGAAATTTATTAGCTTAGTAAATTCCCGTTGACAGCAGTAAATTATGGAACATTAATAACCTCCAGCTTTTTTTTTTAATAAAACAATTGTATGTTGATCAACTCAATAGAAAACTTCCCTTTTTTCTTTAATAGAAAACTTTCTTTTTTTTGTACTTCAATAGAAAATAGTTATTAGTTATAACTTAAATAGTAGGTATGCTAAACGTACATACCGTTTTCAAGGAATAGTTATCGAAGAATATATAAAGTATATATATTTTCAAGGAATAGTTATCGAAGAATATATAAAGTAATATAAAGTCGCATAGGGAAGTTTCTAATTATTTGTAGACATAAAAAAACACATAGAGTTACACTTTTGTTTATGTACCTAGAAGGCATGGCTTTGTTAGCACTGTTTACATAAACCCCATAGATACGTACGCTACATAACATTGCCAAAGGAAATTCACCTTATTGCGCGTGAACAGGGTGGTGCTGCGGCAGGGCGGGCGCCGACCGAGCGCCCCTCGCGACGGACGAAGCCGATGGGACGCAGGCGCGCTCTCTGGCGTGGATCGATCAGATAAACGCGCAACCCCGCTTTTCGAGTTAAATCAATACGGTTTCTATCGATTTTTGTAGCCGCAGCCGCCGCACACCCAACTCGAGGGTCGCAAGCGGTGGTTGCGCGCATTATTTCGATACTAAACTGTAAAATAAAATCAGTGCTTAACTAAAGAACCTAATATTTTTTTAACTGTCTACGAAGTTCAAACCTTGGCGGGTTATCTTGGTAAATATTATTAAATATACAAATAACTAAGATGAAATATTATAACATTAACTTTTTTATTATAATGACTTGACTTTTGCTTATTAACTTTTAAAGCAAATTATTAGGAAAATTTTAACTTTTATATAGTAATTAACTTGTTTATATAATTTACTTCCGGGTGCGTTTTGTTATTGTAACTATTGTGTGGTATATTTTCAGTAATTTTTTTTTATTATTAATCACATAGCATGAAATCTTTTATATGTCTTTTAAATAAAAATAATTAATTATATTAATTTTTTCTCGTTTATTTATTTGATGTGATGTTAAGTGACTACGACGCTACTATCGCGCGCGGCCGCGTTTTGTTTGCGTATGATTGTGAACTTGTAAACAAGCGAAAGCAGCTCAGATTGTTTGGAAATGGAGGTTATAATAGTTTTTCGTCGTATCTAACAGGAATAATTTGTCAAAATGAGAAGAAAAGTGTGAATCTCTGAAAATGACGTCTACAGACACATACCAGCTGAAATGGCATTCGCACAGCTCGCATCTGAACGGGTCGGTGGCTGCTTTGCTGCGGTCAGAGCGGTTCACAGATGTGGTACTGTGTACGATGGATGGATCACAGATCCCTGCCCACAAGTTCATATTGAGCTCGTGCAGTGTGTATTTAAGCAGCTTATTCGAGGGCCAGCGCTCAGTCACACGTATGGGTGGCATGCTTTATGTAGTTTTGCCCTCCGAAATCTCTACGAAAGCTTTGAAGATCCTCGTGGAGTACATGTACAAAGGTAAATTTAACACGTCGTGAATAATGTGACGGAATAAGCCATCGACTTTATAATCTAATTCCTTGTTACATGTTACTTTTACATTTCAATTACAATGACTATGAATTGTAAATGATAATCAGTAAAGTTCAGAAAAATTTACTTTCATGTTAATTAACATCGGAAGTCAAAAGACTTAATTTTTAATCTACATACCTACAACTTTGGGTATTTACTCCTCCTTTTCAGGAGAAACAACAGTTTCAAACGAAGTATTGGACACAGTTTTAAAGGCAGGAGAAGTTTTAAAAATCCGTGGGCTATGGAGACAGACAGATGAGGGTGGAGAGTCTACACCTGCAGAAAAAAGTGTTCCAGCAGCTGCGATTGGTTTAAAACCTTTAGTTGGCAAAAAACCTGAAGATATCCAACCAAAATTAGCTGTGAAAAAAGATGATAAACTGCTCAAAACATTCAATCCTGTTCAATCTCAAGGTGTCACGAGGTAAGCTATAGTTAAGTTATCTAAAAATATACATAAATAATGTGAAACTGTAAATTCTGTGTTCAAGGAACAAGGGTTGTTTCTCTGTCCGTTTCCTACATCCAATTTGCTCTCAAACTACAGGAACAGTATTATGTGCTTATCTCAAATATAGTTCAAATATTTCTTGCCAGGCCTATGTTCATTGGTCCACCCAAATTGGTATTTATCAAGACCACAGAAGGTGGAACTCAAGCTACTCTGAGGCCAGGAGGTCCGAAAGGCCAAACTATTTTAGTAGCACCGGCACCAACACCACCAGACACATCTGCAGCAGCCGCGGTTCCATCTCAAGCACCGACATCCACTATCGCAGTAACTACCACCACCATCGCTGATGACTCCCCAGATGAAGCTCCACCTCCAAGAATACTAAGAAGGCATGCTGCTGAAAGAAAATATGGAAAGAAATCTAAAACTGCATCTACCACAGACAACGAAGAATCCAAAGACGATGATAATGTATCTGTAACTTCAAGTAAGAATTTTATGCTAGTTCAATGAAACATATAAACCTTTTATGATAAATTGAAGTAGCAGAAAATATAGCAAATCTATTAATTTGTTCACAGAAAAATCTTCACAGAGTAACACAGAGGCTTCAAATGAAGTTCAAATTAAAGATGAACCAGAGTGGGATGCGAGTAGTATAGAAGAGGAGGAAAGATCAATAGCTGAAATGTTTCAAGCAGAAATGAGTGTGAAAACAGAGCCGTTAGATGAAATGGATATCGAAGAAGAAAGTTTGGTGTGTTATAATTATTATAAGCAACACTGACAATTTTTATTAATATCTTATTGACTTACTTGTCTTTTGACAGTCTGAAAGCATCAGAATGATTGCTAACAACAGAATTGCTAACATGTACCTTAAATTTCACAAGTTCCCAATATTTCTCTTGTGATATATAAGGTAGTAATACTGGATTTTAGCAATCATATTTATTTTGCCTTCACAATGGAAAATATTATTAATGAGAAATGCTTAAATAATCCACTTTTTCACTGGCACTCTGAGATGGCATTTGAACCCACAACCTTTCGCAATTTTAATAAAGTCCACCAGTCCTGTTAGGTTAACACTTTGACAAGTTATTTTGTATGCATCTTATTTCCTTCCCTCCTAAGTCAAATAAACCTAAATTACTTGCCCTTTTTTAATGTTGAGGAAATGCGTTTCATCCGTTAATCGATCCAGCAGTGATTTACCCAGTGGATCCCCAGAGACCTACTCACCAGAACCCCTATGCTACACCTTCTCGTGCGAGACTAGACCCGGAAAGCATTAACCGAAGCGCGAGGACACTCACCCCCATAATTGATTGCCACGATTGCCTGTTCGAAAACCACTCTGCGTTGGGCCTCCTCTCTATATAATTCCATCCATAGGGGGCCTGTGCCAAATATTGGGAACATCAATAGGCTGGTGTAATCAAATCTTCTTCTTTCTTCAACGGGCGTCTCCGCAACTGGACGACCAAATTGCGCCTATTTTGCGTGTAGAGGGTGTGTGGCCGGATACTACTCCAGTTAGCACAGCTCTGCCAGAAACACTTCCAGCGCCTTCACTTCTGCGATGGCCTCTTGGAGGTTGCAATCAAATCAATCTGTTCAAAAGTTATCAACATCAAAATCGCCAGCGTATTAATGTCCTCACTACTGGGGCTTAAGCCTTTCTTATGGATGTAATCGAATAGAGAGAATGGGCCATGAATTACCCCGCGTGCCCAGTGCGGATTGGGATCAACGGCGAAACGTTCTTCCGACGGAGGAGTTCGATATAAGACATTTTCGGTCACCCATTCTATGTCCGGCCATTACGAAACTTGCTTAACTAATTTATCGCAAACCGATCGCGCTATCGCGCAGTCGAGCCAAAAGTGATTTTGTGCAACGATTATAATGTGAATATTGTATGGTATTATAGTTGAAATATGTATGTTACCGTCTGCTATATTCTGTATCACTTTTAATTTTTTGTTTATAATTCTCATGTAATGCATGGATTTGTAATGTTATGGTCAATAAAAATACTTACTTACTTACTTATATATAGATCTACAGTCCACTTGCGTGCGAGTTATGCGCGGAAGTATTCACAGTACCGGCGGCGTGGGTGCGGCATGTGCAGGGACACGCTGGTGATCAGCCACACTCCAGGAAGAGGAAACACCGATCCGCTGTAAGTATAGGCGAGCGTAACAAAAAATTCTCTGAGCAATTGAGGATGCATGATTTTTTTATCGCTTCAATTTGGAAGATCTAATAAAGTTTCTAATAATTTTAAAAACTAGAAAATGTTGAATTGAATTTACTGAGATTGTGAAGGTTTAAATACTAAATACAGATATTTAATGCTATTTGCATTAAGTCCGCTTTTTGTACCATGCTTATAGTGGTCAATAAAGTTCAATTAATAAATACTCAAGACATGGTCCATTAAGGTTTAATGACTCCTTTAAGCCCTAATGAATGTCAAATTTGTATGGGTAATGTCGCTTTAAACTAATGAAAAATTTAACTGGCACGATTATGCAACTGGCTCTTAGTTTAGTAAGCAAGGACAGAAAGTGTCCCTATTACAACCCTACCTAATTATGCCTAATGCATATACCCAATTTTAAGTGGTTTCAATTAAATTATTAATGCCTTAATATTTAAAATATGTAATATTGAGTTGAGTGTAAAAACTTTTAAATTTATAATACTAGTATTCCATCAGAAGCTTCGTCCGCGGTGTTCTTTATTATTCATATAAACCTTCCTAATGAATTACTAAACATACAATACCTCAGTGTACAGATAGCGGGAAGCAACTTTGTTTTATACTATCCATATCTAAATAAAAATTCAAAGGCAACTTCTTTGAATTTTTATTTAGAGACAAATATAAAAATTAATCAAATTTAAAATACAAAGTGTTTTTATCTAGTTTCCATAACCATTTGTTTGTAGATCGTTTGTAACGTATTCATAGATAAATGAATACATTAAGACCGATCAAATAATCACGATCGATTTTTTTTTTTCTTATAGAGCGACGACACAGAAGAGACCATGGCTTTGCTACGTTGCGATCTCTGTCAGAAACATTTCCCGAACCCGGCTGAATGGGTGCGGCACATACAAAGCACGCACACAGAGTCAGGTCAGTGATTAATAATAACATATACAAGGGTAATAGGATGAGATATAGAAAAAAAGTCTTAGATATAATGTAAAAAAAATATAAATAAGATACTGGTAGGTTATGTCAACTTACTACTATTGCATAAGTAAAAAACATATATTTTTTAAACACTCCAAAAAGTTCTGATATCCTCAAAAAAGGTTTTTATGAGTTACATTCTAATAAAGAATATTTTTTTAATAAATAAAATACTCCTTTAGTTATCACGAGAAACCACCCCACCACGTGAGTTTATTAGTTGAAATATCGACTTTCAACTTGTAATCACCAATATTTTACTCAAATCAAGATTATATTTTTTATAGGTAAACTTTCTATTTATATCTATATACAATTTTTAGATTTCCTATCCCCAAAATACAAGGTTTTCGCGTTTTTAACGTCTCGGGCAGTCCATTAATATATATTTTTTATCTTTAAAATAAGATTAAAAAATGTAAAGGTACGGCCAAGCCTACGCGAATCACTTGCGGGTACGGACGCGGGCAAAGGCGGGATATACTTACTATTAGGTTGGTCGCAGCAAACAATGAGTACTGTTATCTAACCAATCCTTTAAATAATTACGAATATAGTAATTGTAATTATGTCACAAATTATATAGATTGCTCAGATTTTTTTTAATGACACTTTCAAAACGCCTAGTGGAATAGGAACATCCATCAGTCAGATAATAGAAAAAAAAATAGCTTCCTAATTTTATTTGGCTTTAATTCAACACGATAATGGCATAGGTAATATGCGTTAAGTTGATTAGTTGTGGCACGCTACGTAACAGCTATGTAGTAAGTGTACAAAGTTCATGCGACATTTCAACTTAATCTATCGCCGTAATTTATTGATTAGGTAAAAAATGCGTGTTTCATCATCATCGTCAGCCCTGTTATGTCCTCACTGCAGGGGCTCAGGTCTTCCTTATGGATGGTTAAGGAGGATGAGGCCATAATAACCCTCTACGCTGGCCAAGTGCGGATTGGAGGGTATTAACGACAGCAAATGCAGCCGGGACCAACGGCTTAACGTGCCTTCTGAAGCACGGAGTAGCTCGAGCTAATAATATTTTGGTCACCCATCCCGTGACTAACCTTTGCGAAAGTTGCTTAACAATAACGTTCTCGGGCCGCGGCGCTTGCTACACCACCCAACTACTAAAATATTCTTTAATAATCTACCCGATGGATATAAATGGCCATTATCCACTATTGTATACTCCAAAATAGACGCGATTTTGAGATCCCTCTATAGTCTGTTTTACATAGCATTAGTGATGCAACTCCAGTGCTGTTTTTACTCAAGTCACACGAATTAATTTTTCAAACTTGTACTCGAGTGAAAAAAAAATGTCACTCGTGCTATCGAGTCAACTCGAGACATCGATCTTGATTCACTTGTTACTAAATGTCACTTCGGTACTCTAATTTATTTATCTAAGGCGAGCATTTTTTATTTCCTTGATTACTTTTATAAATAATATGTTAAATTCTTTTAATGTGTATTTAATTTATATGACGTATGTATTTATTTAAAATTCAGGCGAACAGATTAACTATCCCCAGACCAATCAAGATTAGCCAGTCCAACCCTGATTGGCATGCTGACAGCGCTACACGGACAAATACTGAAATATTTGACGTTTATAAGAATAGGGGTGTAGACACCTTTTTATATTTTTATTTTACAGATATACGTAAAATATATCTAAAATAGTATCATTCATATCATAAACTAAAATTTAATTTGAAATAAATAAATTTAATTAAAAAAAAATCCCGCAAGAACGCTAACTTCTGTTATGGCGCCGCTATGTCGTCATGCCCTTCAAAACTAAATGCATAAGGTTTAATTCTCCGAGTTCTGATATGAGTAAGAGGGGCGTGGCGTCACACGCTGTTTGCGGGCACGTGAGAGAAAGTATATAACGTATATAACAGAGTATAAAACATCTGTTATTTCATAATTAATCCAAGCAATACTATGAATATAATAATCATAAAAGTGTGATTATCGGTACTAGTATATTAAACATTATCAAAAAAATAGTTATTTAAGATACGAGTGCGGAAAGTAAGGTTTTACGAATAAGGGCCAAATTGAAAACACGACCGTAGCGAGGGTTTTCATTGGCACGAATTCGAAAAACCTTTTACGCTCAAGTTTCTTACAACATTTTTCAATGCTTTTTGTGAGGAAATAAAACAAATATATAGGTTAATAAAACTAAGTATTAAGGTTAAAAATTATTTGTTAAAATTAAACGTGATATTTGAACATGTTTTCGTGTCATATATTTTTATTTGAAAATATTCGTTTTAGGCTCCTTGAAATACTTTTGTCTCTAAAGTTTGACATATTTTCATCAATTTTTTAAAAATTTCTATGGTGTTCGGCCAAAAAAAGTTAAAAAAATACTTTTAAGAACGTGTGCAGTAAACGCTTTCGGTACATTTTTATTTAACACGTGTTTAAAGACTCACTTTCGGTGTTTACAATGGATTAAAAAAATAGCGCTTTATGAGCAACTGCATTGAAAAAGGTATTTTCGTTTAACGTCCACACCCGTATTCGCTACCCTACTCGGCCCTATTGTAGAAATATGACGCGTCGTCCGCAGCGTTGCGCACATTTACCCGCATCCGTAGTTCGCATAGTGTGACCCCCAGAGTCAGTTTTGCAGGCTTGGTGTCCCTTTCTGTTTTAGGTGAATGCATTATGCACAGTCCCTGTCGCTTGACAGGCGACAGGGAGTGTGTCCCAAACCTGCCCGAGGGTTAGACAAAATGCGGATGGTATACCCTCCTGAACATCCTCTCTTTTGGGGGAAGAGCTTAGGACCAGCATGGTTTGCTCCAAACACCCAATCATGTAGTAGTACCCGCCCCTTTTTTCGTTCTCATAATTTAGACACCGCTTGTGAATTTACTTTCTCGACAACGTTTATTGAAATAGATTTTAATTTAGTCGTGTTTATGTCGTTATGAAATAAACATCTTGAGTAACAAATAACAATCGCAATTCAAAGACATTACTTCGAAATGAATATAAAACTGTTTAACACCCATTCTTATTTCAGCTAAGTTTATCTGTTTTAATTTAAGAGTTTGTCATGGATAAAAAGTGAAGATCATTATTGGCCGTCCCTTATATCTCCGGCCGCCCTAGGCCCGGGCTGTGGCCTCAAGGTAAATCCGCCACTAGTGACCCCCATACAAATATTATTGCAGTAACTGATCGCGACCCTGAGTTGTTCACGAGTCCAAAAGAAGCCACAGGACCCGTCGATGAGAACCCTTTCATGCAAACACTATTGCAGAAACTGATCGCGCACGAGCCCACGTCCGAAATTGGTTCGCGCTGGTTTGACTGTACCTTAACGCAGTCGTTTTCTCTAAACTAACATGTTCACTAATCTGTATGATATAACAATTTAACTCCAGCTATATTAACAATAATCTCGTCTACAGTTAACAGCACGTCGGGTTATACAAAACTGACAAATTTCTCAATTCGATTTCAAAGCTTATAGTGTTGATAAGTACGAAATTGATTGCAGAAATTTGGCATTTTGTGGTTGGCTGGTATGGTGCTATGTGTACTATGTATTTTTCATAAACTATAAATCAAAATTCTTTATTCTTATTAACATAGCTGAAACTTGATTGTTATGTATGTGGCTAATTCTCGACAAACGAACATCAAGTCACAATTTTTTTCGACCTGCCTTTTTTATCTTTGCAATGAAAGCTTTACTTATTTTTTTCACTGTCGTGTATGTAATTTTTATGTTGTTTTTTCACTACACAGATTTCGCTACACTCATGATAATCACTTCAGTTATGTTCTTGAGAAATGATCCTAATATGCTTTGAATGCCACTTTTCCAAATTAATGTGCTTCACTGAATCTCATTTTGCCTTAGTTTGCGCGGTTCAAAAATAACATAAAAAAAACCAAAGCATTGCTGTTATGTGATTGTCTATTAAAAAGATGTTGTGACTGAACTCCTTTCTAAAGTCGTTCGATGTCGGTTGTCTAGAATTGGCCATATCAAACAACAGTGCCCCACCAAAACGTCACAATCGTTTCACAGAGGGCGCGCAAAACAAGACTTGCTCGCACTGCAAGAAGACATTCCCGTCACATGCCTCTATGCTTATTCACATGCGTACACACACAGGTATGTATCATTATTAAAAGTTATTATATTGGTCGTTTAAAGTAGGTTTTGGATAGTTTATTATCCATTTTTTGCGACCTTTATTAACTTAACAGCGAAAACATTTGATAATAAATAGACATTTGTAATATAGAAAAATGACAATTGAAAATTAGCAGCGAACTTTTTTTTTAATCTATTTATTTAGGTTACAATACAAAAATTAATTTCTGGTACAAAATTGATACAATTACCCTATTGTGTAACTAGGTGAACGTCCATTCGTCTGCGGTCTATGTAACAAAGGGTTCAACGTGAAATCGAATTTGTTGCGGCATCTGCGCACGTTACACGACCAAATCATCAGTCCCGCTGCCGTGGACGGTGACGACGAGGAACCGGGGCCCTCGGAGGTGAAGCGCGAGTCCTGAGGACGTGGAGGGGGAGCAGGTAACTTGCCATCTTGAACCTTATTTTTTTCCATTTATTTGGGTAAACAAACAGTTACAAATATTTATATGTTAATTAGTAGTAGTATAATATTTTACTAACTTTGACACCAGCACCGTTTACCAGTCACTTGTACTTTTACATATGTATGTCACTTGTAATATGAAACATTAGCATCTGGGCACGGGATCGAGATTGGTCTATTTGTTCAATATGAATATAGCGTTTTGAATTCAAAATTGATCAACTATAATAATCTAAAATCTATAAAAAAATCAATGGTCCTGATTACCGACAAATAATATTATAGAAAGTAACAAGTGTTTAAGAAATCCACTAGTCCCACCAAGGTCTCGGGGTATCCTGAATTCCTTATGGTTAGAACAAGGTGTTCGTCAGCCAGCTCTACTCGCTTGGATACTGAAATTAATTCTTGGCCCATTTAGTCTCTTTATTTATTAATCCGTCACTAAATAGGTACAATGACCCAAGTTTCGGAGATAAATGAGATCGCGTTGCTAGATTGACATCGGTCAGGCAGCTCCTTTATATTCTAAACTATAGCACTTTAGAAGCGCATTCTTTTATAACGTTATTTTAACATGAATTCATAAAACATTCAAACTTTTATGAATTACAGAAATTATCTCAGCAATCACAAATTATTTTACCGCTCTGGCTATTTAACTCGAACATTATCTTTTAGTTTTGTAACGAAACATTGTTAAAACGTGATAAAACCCAGAAACAGAGTTATTATGTGTCAAAGTCAAATTAGTAACATCTGACGAATTCTATCAATGTGTTGGATTGATAAATTGTCGGGCTTTGTGGACCGAAAATTAATTTCAGTCGTCATCGAACTTTATAATTTACGTTCGTAATGAAGAAATTCAATTTACAGGAAGAGGGCGCGGCCGCAGATCTGCGTACATAAACGCAATGGCTGAAGCCAACCGCCGCGCCAACGAGAAGAAGAAACAAACGGATTCAGCAAACATCCCGCGCAAACAGAGCTATTCGCTCTTCCTAAAACAGCGCGCCGTTCTCTTCTCCGCTAAAAAGTGGAAACAGTGAAACGCTCCCATTCACTCACGACTCGCTACTTCGTTTACGTTCATGTTCATTTATGTTCATTCGTGTTGAAAAAAACTGTAGCGACGTCGAGTATGGTTCGTTCACTTATATCCTGCTCTACCCTCCTTTGTATGTACTTGAGTAATTTTACTATGTATTGATTTTATTAGTCCCTAATTCAGTGATTTTTAATTGTCTTGTATAAGTCGGATTATTTTAATGCAAGTATTGACATTTCAGAAATATGTAACTTGATTTTAAGCTTAAATTATTGGGTTTTATCCCAGTAGGTGTGTAAATAAGTGTAAAATTGACTTTAATGTTTGACATTGCGTGTTTCAAACGTATAGATTTTATGTTAATTTTATTCGAGATATGGGCATGATTTGTCACTTATATTTTTACGCATACCAAACAGCGCAAGTTGCTATTACCTTACTAGTTAGCTTTAAGTTATCATTCCATTTGTTTAGAAGTATAAACTTAATTTGAAATTTTAATTTTATAATAATTTAAATTTTGACATTTTAAATACTCATGTGTAACATGATAATTTTTTACTATTGTATAATAATGATAGTAAATGTGGAATGAATAAAAAACTAAAAATATAAATGTTGAAATTATTTAGAAAACTTGCATATATTTTTTTTTTATTAAGATTGTTTACATAATTCTTATATCCACTTTTTCATAATACACACAGTGTATGTAGGAGGTGCAAAAATTACATATTATAAACCAAACTTGATAATAAACGCGGGCTTCATGTTCAACTATCTTCCTCTTCAATTTTGGGAGCCAAGTAGTAGCGAATGTGGCCAATATCTTGGATGCGGTACTCGACTACTAGAGGCACATCAGCTGACATCGACAATTGCACCTGTAAAAATATACAGTAACTATAAAACCCTGCGGAAATATAATCACTTTGTTCTCCGCTCTTATTCTTGACGCAGAAAACTGTTGCAAGCAGCAGTAATGGTTATTGAATGCAGTCAATTTCAATTAACAATACAAAAAAACTATCATATCAAGAATGCTGAAATGTGGCGAACTTTTTTATTACACAATTTGAATGATTCAAAGTTTAGTGTTTTATTAGGTACACAAAGTAGGCGACATTGTATCATACGTTTGACTGATGCCTTCAATAATATTGCTAGTGTCACTTTCATATCTGTTAACATGAATGATAATTGCTAGTTGAGACTGAATATGTAACTTTTTATATTCAATATTTCTTAATATACACAACCTCTGCAACCACCGAAATGCCCTTTGGATTCAAAATAATGCTCAACATCCTGTTAATGTGGCCACTGCTGGTGTACTGGCCTTCTCTATGGATATTATCAGATATATCTCTATGGAGTATGATACATAAGTCGCCACACAGGTCCAATGGGGGGATTGGCGATTGTCAATAGAGAAAAGATACAAAAAACTTCTCTAAAGCATTAAGAACTTAAGAAATAAATATTCGATCATCCATCCATCTTGTCGTTGCGAAGCTTGTAAACTGCATGGCAGGACGAATGCGTCACTGAGCCATTGTGCCAATTTGTGTGTGATTAAATAACATCAATACCTGTGGACTTAATGAGGTAGCTTTTGTGAAGTAATTGAGATACTGGCAGGCGAACGTAAGGGTCACTGGTTCATCCATTTCTATAACAACAGCTTCCTCCTCCTTATCAACAGATGCAGTCTGTGCTAGTTTGATATTGGCTGATCCGATATCACCACTTGCTGAGAATTTTACACCTGAGAAATATTTTTTTTATTACATGTTGAATCACAAAATGATAAGGTTATAACATGTATTATACTCAAGTGAAAGAACTGGTTCAAGTTAATATTAAAATGAAACTATTTCCACAAATATTTTCTCTCCTAAAAAACTTCCCAACTGGTTGCCATGATGGCAGTTATTTTTTATCAGCAACTGAAAATTTGGCAAGATTTTGTTGCAACAAGTTACCAAGCAACTTCCAATAAATAATAAAAATTCCTTTTTCACAACCTAAATAAATTAAGTAAATCTTAAGTAAAGCTCAGTTGTTATGCCTCCCAAAAGAAAATATCCAATACCATTTTTTACTATTGATGATCTATTAAAATTAAAAATATCTATATTTTTGGGCTTAAATATAGATATTTCTCTTTCAATTCATTCAATGACATTTTAAAGTTTAGTTATATGTATGGATATCACTGATATTAATGAAACCATTGCAGGGTAGTTAGATAATAACTTATATAAAAATTAATATAGTTAATATAATAGGTAATAAATAATTAATAATCAAACAAACCTTCTTTAGTGCATGAGATGACCATAGACTCTCCGAACTGTGAAAGGTCACGGCAAATTCTTGCAAACTCAGCACTGGGAAGACGTATTGTACAACTGTACTCAGTCTCTGGAATGCCTATTTAAGAAACAAATCATTAAACAAAAATTTAGTCATGACTAAATTTAAAGAAACAACAATTTAAACTATTTACCTAAATGCTCAAGGTCCAAATTCATGAGCTTCATCTCATAATCAGATACTTTTTCTTGGTTTGGGCTTTCAAATACAAATGTGACAGTGTCAGCATTATCTTGAGCTTTCATGGTCACTGTGTCTTTATCACCAGCACATTTCAAAATTTTGGACATACTGCAATAAATAAGCAACAAAGGCATAATTTTTTAAGTGATATCAAAGGAACAGTGTATTAACAGGCACTAATTCCAGAACAAAGTAAGTAGAACCCACCTTGCTAAATTCATCCCCATTGAAATATTCCTGTCACATCTATACTTATCAAAACCATCAGCACGCAATGTAAGGGAAACAAGTGACACATGAGAGTTATCCATAGCCTGAAATATGATTGTTATTAGCTGGTAACTGATGCTTTTTAATCATAAATTATACATTATCAACATTGGAATACACATGTTTTACCTGTAATTGAATTCCACTATCGTCACAATCAAATGTAGCTTGAGTTAGAAGATCTTTTATCGCTTCTAACACCTTTTTAAGGATGGAGCTACGGAGAAGACGTGCTTCAAACATTTTCTGGAATTTAACGATTATAGGTTAGCAAGCAAAATCTGTGACACTACTAGAATAATTAATTTATGTGGTAATAAGACAAATCTGACTCTATGCAAGTTCTCTAGTCTACCTAGACGTTCCTGGATAGACTAGGATATAACTGAAGACCGTTAATTAGATTTCTGGTTTTTCTATTATAGCCAGCTAAGAAATCTAAAAGGTGAAGGTGAAGGGAGGTTGTATGTGAGTTAGCTACACATTAAATCTTGGATAACGTTTATTTCATTCCACCCATCGACCCGGTGGAATGTAGTTAACGGTAATAGCATAAAGCGTTCAATGCTTACTATGATGCAACCAACACGATGTGATAATAAAGAGATTATTATATATAGTTTAAAATCACATAAATTACTCACGATTTTCCAAAAATATTACAGCTTTTTACACGACGATCGAAACGAACGAACAAACGAAGCACCGATAATCGGCAACCACAATTTAGACTTGATATTTTGACAATGACAAGTAGCGGGAAAAATTGGCGCGAGAGTCAGTTTTTTTAATGACTGGTGTGAAAATCAGAAACGGTCAGTGTTGCCAATAATGTTGTTTTATGGAAAGTAAGTAAGTCGCATAACGTGTGCATTTAGCCGTACAATAGGTACAGCAAATCGGTTTCCAGGAATCAATCAACCCCAGGGTCAGTGAAAAAACGGGCTATCGGCCTTTGGGCGCTTGTGCACTACACTGAATTTTCATGTCCGGCGGTCCGATTTTTTCAGGTCCGATATATGTCAGGCCATATGTAGGTAATGCGCGCTTGTGCACTGTCACGAATTTTACCGTCCGGAATTTTACTTTTCTCTATTCTGAACCGGTTTTTTGAGGTCCGTGATGGCGGCAATGAAAAACGTGTTTACGCTTGTGTTGTGCACTGACTGCTGTGTCCGAGATCCGGAAAATTCATAATTCATAATCCCAAGCCTATTGGGAAAAAATAATCGATTTGAATCGATATTTATTTCGGCAATATTGTTAATTTCCAATAAACTTATAATGGATATTTATTGTTGATTATAAAATGCTATATTTTATATGATGATTTAATATAGTTGGTATATATTACTGCATATGCTTTGGCAAACTCGGTATAGTTCTAATTTGATCAGCATATGGTTCTAGTATCGATGCTTAGCTGTATTTTAGAGTATCGATAGCTTAAGGTAAGATAAATAAGTGTTGTTACGCTTAGACGCCTAAACAACTGAACTCATCTAAATGGAAATTAATATAGTAAATAGACTTAACTTTAAGAAAGGACATAGGCTTCATTTTATCGCGAAATATAGGGGATGAAAGTTTGCCTGGAAATTTGTCGTTACCACAGATGGCGCTGTGGCATAAACAGTGGCTCCGTATTTAATTTGTTGCAAAATATAAAAACCAGTGTATTTTTGTCTAATATTTATACATTTAGTTCGGAATATGTCGTTTTACCTGTGATAGTGTTATCTACATCGAAGATCAAGTTTTTAGTGTGTTAATTAAAGATATCAACGGGTGAACTATATTTAAAAAATATCGACAAGGGAGTGAATATTAAAGTAATGCTCTTATCCAAAACATTTGTAAACTGTGCATAAAGTGATTGAGTGCGGAAGTGTCGACAACCAGGACCATTTGTCCTAGTTAGTGAAATATCTGTAAGGAGTCGGTTAATTTTATTTAAATGAAAGAGGTTGCTATGCCGTTTTGATTGGTGCACGCATGGACTTAAGAGTGACTTTGTAATAATTGTACGAAAAGCGCCATCTCTTGATTGTGTCTCGCACTATATCTACGGCATTGAGTAAAGAAAATACTAATAGCTATTTTCGAGTTCGCTATCTAAAGTGCTTTGGCGCAACGGATAAGTCAGTACTGTGCTACCGCAGTTCGTGAGTTCGAACCACAGATTTGGAAATCTTTTTGCGATATTATTTGTTTCTAATAATAGTAAGACATGGATGTCTGTGTAGGATGTAACCACAGCATCAATGACAATAATTCTATGACGTGCTCAGTATGCAATAATGTTTACGATTTATTGTGTGCTGGTTTGAGCGCCGAAAAATATCTTGGACTTACACCTGACGTCTTGCGGTCATGGGTATGTGTCTCATGCCGAAGTAAAATACCTAAGTCTGGCAATTTATCTACTCCTATTCGACTTCTAATGAGTACAAGCGTGGCTAATGATACGATTTTCGAAGCTGTTGATAATTCTGTTTCGGAGTTTGAATTCGAAAATGTAACAACGAGGCGTAGACGAAGCTCTGATGATAAAAGGGTTAACAGTTGCATTTGTGGTGACAATTATTATCTCCTTAGGAAATTAATAAGAGAGGAATTACAGGAGGTGTTGAAAGAACCGTTACAGTTAATTTCTAACCTACACAAAGATTTGCAAAAGCAAACGATTATTATGCAGAATATGACATCTATGCAATCCTCTATTCTTGATGGAGACATACAGAGTAAAATACAAATACCCATACCAATACCGCAGTCTCCACTAACAACATCAAAAAAAGTATTCGAAAATACATTAATTGAGGCCAAAACTAAAAGTAACAATCGAATAAAAAAGCATGACACTAAAAAGAAACCATCTTTACAGAATCGTATACCTTTTAGTCCGACCAACGGGTGTTTATCTAATGATCAAAGTGTGGATAAATTGGTATCAAATGTTCGTAATAAAGAGCCAGTGACTAATATTAATGCCATATCTGATCCTAGTGTCACCGAAATATCTCAAAACCAAAATTATGGCTTGGATAGACAAGAATGGACGGAAGTCGAGTTCGAACGCCAATACCGGGATTACTGCTAATCCTGAAACCACTATACTACGGGCAGCAGAAAGAATGCGTTTTCTTCATCTCTATTATGTTCAAGTCGGGACTACAGAGGAACAGGTGCGTGCTCATTTAGCGACGCTATGTGAAGAGAATGTATGTTCCGTGGAAACACTAAAAGCTCGCGGCAATTACGCTTCTGTGGCGACTGATACATAGCGACATCTAACTCATCGCACTAACATCGCCACAACAATCGATAGCGAGAAGACTAGCATCGTCACAGCCATCGATAGCAAGACGAACTGCAATAAGTTTCAACAGCAAGTAACGAGATGGCGCTGTACCAATACAAGCAGCATAAATTAATAACTACAAGACATTTAGAACAAAGAAACCTACATCGCACAGAATAAGTTTCATTACCAATTAACATAAATAGAACGTCCAACCTACATCGGTTGGACCGCGGTCCCCGGGCTAACAACACCTAGCTCGGAGGGAGACAATTATCCTTTAGTCTCCCTGGCCTGTTGTCTCCATCACCACACTGAAGGACCCCAACCTTTCAACCATACGGTTCCTAAAGGGTTCCTAAAGTGGTGACCCCAGCAGAACATCAGCAACCTTCAGCATCAGCAACCTTCAGCATCACAACGCAGCCATCACTCTTCATCAACAGCCTCTCACCCTTCATCATCAGCTTCTCATCCCTCACCAGCACAGTCACTTCAGCAGCAAGCCAGCCAACACCAAGGTCCATCATAGCAGCATCGACGACGCTTCCTGGATTCTTGGTACCACTCGACGGCATCATCCCGACCTGGTCCACGCAGCCCACGACCGGACCTCAGTTCACACACAACTCACCGGCGTGGCAGCCCTGCACACCAGCAGCTTCGGTCCCGACGTCACAACTATGGCACTTGCAACCTCTGAAGCACTGACTGCATACCACCTACTATCAACATGGATCGACCTTCGGTCTAGGGGGAAAGTACTGTGGCGACTGATACATAGCGACATCTAATTCATCGCACTAACATCGCCACAACAATCGATAGCGAGAAGACTAGCATCGTCACAGCCATCGATAGCAAGACGAACTGCAATAAGTTTCAACAGCAAGTAACGAGATGGCGCTGTACCAATACAAGCAGCATAAATTAATAACTACAAGACATTTAGAACAAAGAAACCTACATCGCACAGAATAAGTTTCATTACCAATTAACATAAATAGAACGTCCAACCTACATCGGTTGGACCGCGGTCCCCGGGCTAACAACACCTAGCTCGGAGGGAGACACTTATCCTTTAGTCTCCCTGGCCTGTTGTCTCCATCACCACTGAAGGACCCCAACCTTTCAACCTAAAGGTTCCTAAACTTCTTTCAAGTTGGGAGTACCTATCAAGCTAGCTGACAAAATTATTTCCCCTACTAATTGGCCTAAAGACATTCTGTTAAAACCGTGGCGTCAGAACTTTCGTTCCAAACAAGAAAAAATATAAAAATTGTCAACAATCTAAAAAGTTAAATTGTTACTATCAGAACGTACGTGGGTTGCGCTCTAAAACCTCCATGTTTTATAACAATGTTTGTCAAAGTCAATATGATGTTATTGCTTTAACAGAAACGTTTTTAACAAGTTCCGTATGCGATGGTGAACTATTTCCCGCGGGTTACTTTGTAGTTCGTAAGGACCGTATAGGTGACAAAGGGTGGGGAGGTGTCCTGATAGCAATACGAGAATGCTATTCGGTTAATGTTATTAGTAATATCGATGACTTAACGGCGGACAAGGAGTTGTTATTTGCTGTTATAAAAAACAAATTTGTAAAGTTTTTATGTTGCTTAGTATATATACCACCTAGTTATAGTGACGAACAGTACCTAAATATTTTATCATGCATGGAGAATGTAATATGTAGTTATTCTGATTTACAAGTTCTTGTACTTGGTGATTTTAATTTGAATTCATTTAGCGCTAATATTAAAACAGAATTTGAACATTTTTGTGAATTCTGCAAATTAGTAGAGCATAACAATGTTCTAAACCATCAAGGTTCTATGTTGGATCGTGTGTTGAGCGATGTTGTTTCCACTGAGGTATCGGTGTCTCTCAATATTGAGCCTTTTGTACCTATTGATAAATATCACCCGACCCTTGATATATTAATAAATTTAAATAATCGTTTTGCTCCACCGCCACAGTCTGCACACATACACATTGAACGCCCTGAAACCTATCTCAACTGGAACTGGCGCAAAGCAAACTTTGTGGCACTGTACGATTCCATCACTGATTTGGATTGGACTGATGTACTGAACTGTAATCATGTTGACTTAGCCTTGGATGCATTTTATTCGAAGCTGTACCAATGTATTGACTTGTTTGTGCCATATAAAAATAGAATATGCCGTAATACAAAATATATTTATCCAAAGTGGTTCACAGAAGAAATTAAAATCAACATAAAATTTAAGCACTTTCACCTAAAAAAATTTGAAGCTGAGGGTAAATTATTTAACATAGAACTGTTTAAATATTATAGATGGTTTAGGAACCGTAAGATTGAAGGTTGGGTCCCTACTGTGGTGATGGAGACAACTGGCCAGGGAGACTAAAGGATAATTGTCTTCCTCCGAGCTAGGTGTTGTTAGCCCGGGGACCGCGGTCCAACCGATGTAGGTTGGACGTTCTATTTATGTT